TGATTTCCCGTGTGTACCACGGATGTTTTGAATTGCGTTTAATGCACTTTTGAGGCACAAACTTTGATATGCACTCCTGCACAATACCATGAAAATGACCAAGGAGTACATTTACATCACTGTGTTCACTGCTAGGAAAAAAATCTTCAAAACTAGATGACAGCGTATCGATAATAGAGTTGTCATCGGCACGACCAAAAATCAAGCACACGCTTAAATTCAGGTCGTTTTGGCGGGCACACTATGTTGAGGCAGGCAATTACAGCATTGTGATCAGACAAACCTGTGACAACCTCACTGTGGTATCCCTTTTTGCAAAATTCGCTTTTGCAAATTCCAACATAAGCGGTCTTGAAATGCACTCTTCATAAAAGGGATATACATTGTGCAGTCTCGCTGTCGCTACTTGCGCCAAATTGCGGAGTTGCGCCGCCAAAGTAGGTTGATCTTTTACATCGACGAAACGTGGCTGGCCACACTAGTAGACAAGTGTAGGTTGGTGAAGCCATAAACACCGTCCATAAAGTGCGTCGATCCAGGCTGTCTACAGGCCTTGAAGACTCTAGTGGTAAAGGTGGCCGACACATTGCGACTCATACCCCGGTCACACGGCTACCCGCGAACACCGTCTAACTCCCCTGTCCTAAGGACAAGGGAGATGCGGTCTGTGTCACATGGCCACCCTCACGCAAACGAGGGTAAATGGAGCATTTTGCAAAGGAGGTTCGACGATCTCCCTTTGCAACAAAACAGGTTACTCTTGTTCCCAGTAGCTGCAGGGGAAAAAAAAAAATATATATATGAGCGCTAAATTTCCACAGCGACAACAATGAATATATTTTGGCAATAATAAACATTCTTTTGTTGCAATATTCATTCATAACGTGTGTGTCTTTACATGTATATACAGCCGCCAGAGTGCAGCTTAATACTCTCCTTACCGATGCTATCCACACCGCGCCTCGCGACTTGAGTCGGGCCGGGCACGGCCATTTAAAAATATCCATGTGTGCGGTTGTAGTCGTCGCCGTGTTAGCGTGTGCCCGTGAGTGTGACTGACAGCACTGCATCATCGTCACCTGCTTCAACGGCTGCAGGAATGGGTAATGGAACCCGACCTAATTCAAGGGTAACTTGGAGTGCGCTCACGAGCAAAGGAAACGCAAGAACTTTCATACACAAACTACAAAAACAACTAGTCGTTGAGCGTGGCACAATCGTAAACAAACATAGCGTTATGCACAAGGAGGCCAGCGTCACTGCCAGCATCGCTACATTTAACGAATGCATTTTAATTTGAAGTATTTCTAATGCTTTGTTCACTTCAGATGTACTTAATACTGCATTTTTGTAAAAACAACAAAGATTCACAAAAAAGCACCTTGCGAAACTCAAACAGCGCCAGCTGAGCCCCCTCGCGCCAACTATTGCAACCTTGTCATTGCCGTGTGACACTGATACAACTAGGTCGAACTACCTAGTGGAGCATCACGTTGACGAAGTTTAGCAGAGTTTGGTGACGGCTGTGTGACAGGCGCATCTTTGCGGGAAAGAAAATGGATTTGCGGAAGGCACAGGTGAAGTGTTTTTCACAAAAAAAAAAGCTCAGGTGATTTTCACCATGAGAAGAATGGTGACAACTATGAAAAATGGTTCATTAATAAATTGCGAGAAAGTGCTAATCTGCAGTGGAAACCTCTTCTCTGTGACTTGTATTCGTCTCTTCCGAAGCCTACAATTGCAAATGTGCGCTATGAAATGTGCCATGTTTGTGTGAATGTTTGGCAACTGTCGTATTCTCCTGTGTCTCTTTCTATTGGTAAGTGTAGCAATATGACGATGCGTCAAAAAGAAACCTGCTGGTACAATAAACGCATGCCAGCAATTTCGCTCCGTCCATGTCACACTGACTTTGTGTAGGTTCTGGGAAAAAAAAAAATCAGTGGTGGCGTCACATTTTTTGTGTACCTGTAAATGAGAATTGCTTACAGTAACACTGCGATACCCACAACAGTGAAGCATCACATAATTTGGGAAGGTCACAGTTTTAGACCTCAAGGGTGCTTGGACGGTACATAAATTAAAAATTATGCCACCACGCATGCGTCATCATGAAGAAATCTCGAGTTGTTAACTGTAGCATTGCTTCCAAATGAAAAAATACTCCATGAAAACAGGTGACATTCAGATGTTCTTATCTGATTCCGCGAGGTGCAATCGCAGTAGCGGACACCTTTTAAATACACAAACGAACAAGCCCACTTCTTGAACACTGGTGTGAGGCATTTCACATCAGGCGGCAACGAAAAGGTAACGTTTAAAAAAAAAGTATTAAAAAATTTTCTCTTCACCCGACTGGATTCGGACTTCGGTCCACTGAGATGTGAGGGATCTCACGGAGGGGGGGGGGGGGGGCACTCAATTGATTAGGCCATAGCTAAAGATGTGCGCGGATTAATGGAACGTAAAGGAAATGGCCTTCATGATTGGTTGAAATGGGCCTAGTCTTCGTAGTGCTGCAACCCGCTTGCTAGATGGAGTATAGATAAGCGATTCTATCTGTACAGCACAAACGGCGCTTACAAATAGCGTAACGGTGGTGTGGCTATCATGCAGGGCCCAGCGCATGCTCTTATATGGCCGCTCTAGAAAGCGAAGCACTTTTTCGAACAGTGTGTTCGCGTTGAGAGTACAATGTAGAAGGGCATACCAGCAGTCTTTAATGCTGCTGAAATAGTGCGCGCGATCAATCCTCACAGTTCATAACGACACCCACCTCCCCTGCATTCCTAGTTCCTTCCTGCTTCTTGAAAACGGGTGGTGCGTTCCCCTCTGCTTGAGTAATAATTGAGTGCTGCAGGCCTGTTGCGTGAGGTGATGTTATCACATGCGCCTTTCGTGCAAAGGAGATATGTCTGCTCTTTTTGTCTACTTTAGTCGCGTTCGTCGCGCCTGCTCACGCGCTTTTAACTCATGTGCAAAGCACGTGATTGGGGGGGGGGGGTGTTATTGATTGGGGCGTTACACAAAACATGATGACGACGGCCAGTGACAGCCAGGAAGGGGGGGCACATCGAGAATGCCTTCCCCCCCAAAAAAATCTCCCCTCGCCCCAAAAAAATTCCTCCCCCTCCCCCGAAAAAATTAAGTGAGCAAGTGTTGAAAGCACCAAATATGAGAGAAAAAAATGCAACCCATTTATGTAGACCCTAAAATACTGATCCACTGATTTACACTCTCAATTGCTTTACTGTAGTTGCATAGTGGTATGATTTCATGACATATAGGCATTGGAAGATCTTTTTTGTAAGTTGCATTAGTGGAATAATGTTTACTGGCTACTTGTAAATGTCGTCTTCCTAGCTAGAACTTTCTTTATAGTTTGTATAGTTTGTTTAGTTTTCTTGTGAACTTGCTCTGAGCACATTTTTGCATGATGTTATTGTTTGCATTAGTCATTTCAGTCTGAGTACTGTGCTTGGCAGGGGGCAGCAGATAGTGGAATGGCATTGCATGGTTTTTTTTTTTGTTTTTTAATATTAGACGCGAAGCATTTCGTAGCAATCTTCGGCGACTTTGAGCGTATCTATCTATCTAGCCGCCTATGACTTTTAGCTCTCCAGATACCGATAATGGTATCAATACCAAAATTGGCATTGCATAACATGACATGTATGTCACGATTTATATTTCATGGTTTTGCTGCTCTTGCGGTAGTTTCTTTCACATGACATGTTGCAAAACTGGCATGGTATGACATAGCTGCGTGGCGAACGTAACTGACAAATTCCCCTTGCCTTTTTTCAGCACCCCCCTTGCCCCGCCGGCTGATGCGCCAATGAAGACAAGCAACCCGCGCCAGCCGGAGATGTCCTTCGTGTCTCACATTTTAGTCGCGTCTGCCCCTAGCGCGTGTTAATAATACACACACACACAAACAAACAAGACTACAGAGTCGTATTTACAGTCGGAGGAGCGTTGCCTTGACTTGGCTCCGGCGTCGATTCGTACGGCTCGTCCCGTCTGTGAAGCTCGTTGCGTTGATGGTCTCGGTTGTAAGCTGCACCATCAGGTCCTTACGGTGTCCGGTCCCCGCAGCGTCGGGTCCCCACAGCAGCTGCTCCACTTGTCATTCTTGGTGCGCTGCATACGGAGCGTCGCTACAGGTTATTTGGCACGTTACAACAAGGTTGCAATCGCTTGGCCGAACTGGTCGAACCCCTGGCTGTGCCGCGCCGCTCACAGGGCATTGCTGTGAAGGCTGGGGTACGTCCTTCTTAGGATCTGTGCTCGTGGGGTTTTTCGGCAAACGCATTGCCGCTTCAACCCCTCGTCAGTGCACTTCTGCGTTCCAAGCACCCACGCCTTCGTGTCTCAGTCACGTCGTCGCTCGTGCCCCCCCCCCCTCCCCTTTTTTTCTTCTTCCTTTTTTTCTAATTTCTCTTTTATTGATATTGATCTTTTTCCTTGCTTCTTCTTCCTCCTCTTCTCGCTTTACCACCAGTTGACATGTTCATGACACATGTGCAAACATGATCATTATGATCAGGGTGTCATGTAAAACATGACTACATGCGACGCTTATAGCGCGCTCGCGGCCGTTTCGGTAGCTTCACATGTACCACATATGGTATCGTTGGACGTGTCTAGAGGACGAAGGTGAATGACACGTCCAAACATGATAATTATGATATGCATGTCATGTAAAACACGACTACGTGCTACGCTCGTAGCGTGCTCGCGGCCTCTTTGCTAGCTTCACGTATATCAAATTTTGTATCGCGGGACGTGAATAGAGGACGAAGATAACTGACACGTCCAAACATGATAATTATGACATGGAAGTCATGTACAATATACTTTACGTCTGCCTCGTAGTGTTGTGCTGATAATTAAAGTGACATATCAACCTTCCTCATTTGTGCTTCGCATATCTGTCTTTTTTTCTATGAACATTTGTTCGCCTGCCTGTTTCTTCACAAGTTTCACTCCGTGCTCAGGTGAAGTACCACGAAGATTTTGAGAAGCTGAAGGGAAAAGTGACTGCAAGTTGCCGACGACCCAGAGACGATGAGGATTCGTCAGACATCGAAGATCATCAGCAATGTTGCCTACCATGGCGAGCTGGAGCGCAAGAATCTCATGGAACAACGCCGGGGGCTGCTGCCACAGGATCGCAATGGCCATGGTGATAGTCAAGGTTTATTGCCATCTTGACTGTAACATGCTTTCTAAGAGAGGATAATTTTGTCACTGCAAGGTGTATTTTAGTCTCTCTTTTCTTGAAAACTTTCATTTGCTACCTATCACCGCAGGTCATGGCTGTGCACTATTATTGGTCATATGATAAAAACTTTGGTCTCACTTGTTCTGCCTCTTGGTTTGGTGAGAGCTCTCGTAAAATGTCCGCAGCATCAACCCCCGAAAGGGCACTCAACACATCATGGCAGACAAGTGTTAGATGACCCTGCATATCATGTCATCATATCTTCAATTTGCGCTTACTCAGGCTTTCAATTCGTTACTCTTTTTTCATGTACAGGTGCTGAACAAGAGCCGGCCCCCTGCGACATTGCTCAGTTTCGTGAGTAGCTCTATGCTGATTTTCTTTCAGGGCCATCCTCACTTGCTTTTACTTATTTACGGGTTGTGTCATATCTTCTGGTTAACCAGCTGGGGTCTTTTTGGAATGCATGCTGTCCATCTCCTTTGGGACATCTGCCAGCTTCTCTCTTACTACTTGTGAAAAGCACACCTACAGACACTTTCAACTATCTTCATTTTTTTTGGGCTGAAAGGTAGTGCATGGCATTGGAAACATGTCTCCATAGCATATTTTACATGGTTTTGACAGTGGTCATTGAGTTTCTGAAGACTGATTTTTGAGGCTAAAGCCAGATGCGGGCACTGTGTTTGTTGGCAAGTGAGATTGTGTTATCACGCCCGCCCTCTGAGCGACGGAGGTGGGTCGGTTCGTTCGATCCTTGCATCAGTCACGTTCGTCGCTCCTGCTCGCGCACTTTTACACGAGAGTAAAACACAATGCGCGATGGTATGTTATCAATTTGCACTTTATACTAGAGATAGTAACAGCCCATTGAAAGTGTCCACATAATGGCTATCGCAATAATAAGGCTATTCATAAATATAGCTTGGTGTTTAAAAAATGCGGCATTCGCCAAATGTTGATTCACAAGACAGGGCTTGTCTGAAGTGAATGTTCTCTCTCATTGCCCCAAACATTACTCAAAAAGGCCTGCCACAAGAGGCACTTTTGCTTGCCCCCATCTGCCCTGTTCCAACCCTGTATCTTGACAACTCGTTCAGCTGTAAGCAAACATTATTCTGTGTGTGTAGCTGACTCTTGTTTCCTCCTGTGCCTTTGGCTGTGGTTTCTGCATGAAGTGATAGTTTGTGCCTTGATTATAACAGCTAACGGCTTACGTCTCTCTGGGCGAGCTTTCTGGTGTGTGTGCAAACGTGAGGGTGTCCTATGGCGGCAGTGCAGTGTCACTCACCTCATGTTGTGCGCTTCAGCAGTGTGTTTTTCCTCAAGCTCAGTGAGCATGTGCGTGTGTGCACTACTTCCCTCCTCCTCTCGGCAGCACCCCCTCCTCCTCCCCCTATTGAGGAGCGGCCCAGCAGAACACTCCAGTCAGTCCGGGCAGCCACCGAGTACGAAATGTCGGCCAATAACAACTCTCCCTACAGCTCCAAGCTGCAGTCCACAGTTATCTACACATCCGAGGAAGGACCAGGTACCTTCGCTTCCTCCTGCTCTTGAAACTCCCGCCCTGCTCCAAGTCCGGTCCTGCCCTTACACTGTGTGGGCTTGTGTGCTTGTCTTGGAAGGGTAAAGTTGCATGGTGTGGCCTGCATAGTGCTCTGCATCGAGTATAGAGGACTGTACCAGAACTTAGACCCAGCTCGTTTAGTGTTTATAGGCTTCTGCTCTAAATGACAAAGCCTATTGCAGCAGGCACCAAAGGTACAAAAGTAAAGTTAGAACTAAGTCTGCTAGATGGTTAGTGCTAGGAGATAGAACTTGGTATAGGTCGCTAGCTCATGATGCCAATACTAAGACAGTGTCTGAATCTCTTCCTTGCACAGCTCTCAGATCTTGCAACACTGCACAGTGTTTTCCATTGGATTGCACTGGATACTTCCCACTATTACTGTCTCGTCCACAATTGTCTGTGGCTTCACTGTGGGAATAAGCACCTCATTGTTTAAGGGCCACTCACCAGACCCCATACTGAATTTTAGTTAGACAGTGGAAGTTATTGGGTGTCCGATGTGGAACATTTTGCCTATAAAATTTTTTTGAATCGATTCATCGCGAGCGTAGAAAACAGGTTTTTTGCAGCGGCGTGAAACGAGGATGAGAGGAGGCGAGCTCGAAACCCTTGCCGCTCCTCCGTGTAGCCTTCGCAAGCCAAATCTCTTCCCCATTCTCTCGGGTATCCGACCAAGAGGTCACGTGTGCATGATGTGCCTAAACAAGTTCAACTCCCGAGCACGCGAGCGGCGTTACTATGTTGACTAGCGTTATTTTGTGGTCTTCTGCTTGTTTCTGCAGGATGGTTTGAAAACACTGGCTTAGACGCAGTAGAATAGAGGAGCACAATGAGTGCGCGAACGTGTAGGAACAATTCCATGGCGGTCGTCTGCTCTATGCGCAGACCGCGGGTACACGAACGCATGCGAAACGCCGACACATTAGCCCCGCATTTCTTTGCAATTCACGGGCGAAAAATGGAAAAAAGACGCTCACATTCCCCTAATGCGTCTGATTATTTATCTTGAGCTTTATTAATCTCTTCAAGCAACAAATTACATAAACTACGCCATGTCATGTGCCACTGTTTGCAACGTCAGAGTAGAGTCGTCTACAAAGAGTACCAACGTCACTGCATTGCCATGTACGTAGGGCCATTTATATGTGCACTTCATGTCCTCATTCTCTGGGTGCGCGCTGGCAGAAGGGAGGGGGAGCAGGGTTCATGTTAAAATTTGACCCATTATTGCAGCGCGTAGCGTTGCAAATTTTGATAGACGTGACCATGAATGCTTTGTTTATGCATTTTGCTTGTCAGCTCAAAATTGTCAAACCTGGTGAGTGGCCCTTTAATGAACTGTCTCGTCTCTGTGGTTTCACTGTGGGAATGAGCACTTCTTTGTTAATGATGTATCATGTTAATTTTTTTCAGTTGTATTTCCTTTCTTTTTTTATTTTTTAGGCAATAAAATAGAGCACTCTTGCCATATTTTACAGCTCTGAAAGGAATGGCAGGTCTATCAAGCAAGTTTATCGTAGGTTCTGTTGATTCTGTGGTTTCCTCACATTGCCTTGAATGCAAGCAGGAGCTCTTTCTTTTCTTCACTATTTATATTTTTGCACTTCAGAAATTTGACGATGTGCTCTGCTGGCCAAACTGGTTGCTACGGCACTTGGAGAACATTGAAAATGGTGTGCTCTTTCAGCTGCTACTGACAGAATGTACTACACACTGCTCTCACTAGGCAGCTCAGTCAGCCTTCTCGATAGTGTGAAAAAATTATAGGTGGCTAAATTTATTGAAGCTAAGCATCTTTTAAAAGGGTTCTGACACAAAATTCATGGCGGAGACAGCGTGCGGGATCGATTCCCATGAGTGTGCATACAGTTCGACCCCTTTATAAGAGACATACTCTGGAGAGCGGGTCTTGTCCCTTAGGTGAGGTGTCCCTAATAAGCAGGGTACCACGTATGCGTTTCCTCATCACCTATTTCAATGTAGGCACACCTGATGCTTTTACATCAGTGTCTTTTGTAAAGGGTTCGTTCTACTGTATGTCATCTGCAAAACTTCGACAACAAATATAGCTTGGTGGGTATTTTACATGAATTCTGAAGTTTTCTTGCACAATTTCACTCTCGCGCTATTGACGCCCTCAAAAGTGACCCTTGGTGACCCCCCTACTTCCATCACACAAAAGTGCAACAGCTGCGCTAATTTGATACAGTTCCTCATTTTTGCGCCACGCTGCATCAAAGCGCGCCAATCCCACCACCATTTTTGTGCCAATCGCACCACTCTGCGCCAAAGTGCCTGTGTGCTATTTTCACCAAGAAATGGACGCCACGTTCACCACTAGTAGTTTTCGCCTTCAATCAATCCTAGGACATAGCCGCATTGACCCTTACCCTAAACCACGACAGGACATTCGCGAAACGCGATTGACCAGATAAAGTAACGCCAGGCACCCGTCAGTCTGCTGACTGCCGGGGATAAAAGTGAAGCTCGAAGCGTATGCCGTACTTACTGCACGCGAACAAACTCGACGTACTGGGAACGTCGGCGTTCCGGGTGACCACGTTTAGTTGCCATAGCAGCTGTGCATACCATAGATAAGCGGTGCTGTTGTCAAACCAATCAATGGGCGTGTGCACGTGTTATCTAGTCAAACCTGCCTTGCAAGCATGTTTTACTAGATAACGTATGAAGTTGTGCCCTAAAAATAACTCCACCCAGAAAAAAAAGAGGGGGGGGGGGGGGGGCTGTAGCAATTCGAAAATTTCTTGGCCTTGTTATAACACGTGCAAAACGCCGCTTAAGAAGCTACCTTTGCCACAGTACACTGTTCACCTGCAAAAAAGCATTTTAAAGGAGCCCTGAAACACTTTTTGAGTAACCATAGAATTAATTCACAGGAAAAGTGTATTGCCTCACAAATTCCAACGCTGTAAAAATTTTAAGAATCCGTCTAGTACGAGCAGAGTTAGAATGATTTGTAACACGCTAAAATCGCATTCTCTCTTCGCTGGCCCCTGACGAAAGCGCTGGAATTTAAGCAGGGAGGTATGGGAGGGGCAAACAAAAAACTTCACGCACGCCTTGTGACCTTGAGCACTCTTTTTTTTTTTTCGGATACGTGGCTTTTTCAATGAGATCGTGCGCACGCAGGGTGGACAAGTGACGATCTCTCGCAACGATCTCTGTAATGACCGAATGCACCATGTTCAAATTAGCCAATGGCTGATAGATCGGCTTACTACGAGTGATTTTTGGGCTTATTGCATGATTTGTCAAAGAAGAGAAAGCAATTTTTAGCTGACTTTGATAACTTATTGTGAATGCCAGGCCGCGTGCTGCGCTACAATATTTGGCTCGCGTGTTGTTGGGAGCCTCTACCACCGAACGGCAGCATTTTCTGACTAGTATGCTCAAAAAGTGTTGCAGGACCCCTTTAAGATTTGGAAGGGACGGTTAGCATTTGTCACTGGACAGAGCATAGTTTGTTCAATTACTCATGTGTATTCGCAGCATTATCGTGAGTACTATTAATATGAAAATGTTACTGGCACAGCTGTGGGCTAGTTTCTTTTTCCACCCCTAAGGTTGCCAGCTTGGCAGATCCACATTTGAATCCTCAGAGTCTGTCAAAGAATTTGATCGGCGTGGCAAATGTGGACTTGACTATCGTTTGCCGAGCGGGGTGTTTCAGAATAGTTTTATTGAAATAGCTGTGTTTATATTCACTGTGCACGATTTTGGAGATGTTGAGTGGTTTGTACATATCTTCACTGCTGTTTCATTTAAAAACATTTGTCGATGCGGATCGTGCGAAAATGCGTCACAGTTCCTTGCGCTGGTGTCGTTGAAATTTGCACATACTAGGGGGTGATAGTTGCACTTGTTGTTTTTGGAGCTCTAAAACTGAAACTGGTCGGTTATGAGCAACATGTAATAAATTATTTGTCCTCCAGCAACACATTGCCGCTAAAAAACGCAAAGCCTGAGATCAAAATTCCAGTGCCACTGACGTATTTATGATTAACAGTGGCTTAGGTATCAAGCGGTCCTAAAAATGAGAATAGAGAAGCAAAATAACATTTACAGTCAAACGTGACAAAACATTTTGTCACTTGTCAGCTGTGGATGGCAGTTTGAATACGTGTTGCAGCAGAGCATATTTTTGTGTACCAAAATAGGCTTAATTATTTGTTACACATTTACTTCATCAGTGCTAGTGTGTATTTGGTGGTATCAGAGCACTTCTACCTCTGTTTGAAGAATACAACGTTCGTGTACATAAGTAAAAAGGGAATTTCCAAGGCACAGGTTGTTTTAGAGCATGTTGTTTGAAAGCAAAGCAAGTAGGTTTGTGCGCATAGCGCATTGATGAAAGTTGACGTAGCTTGTGTCACCTTTATTCCAGTGCAAACTCAGCCTGTGCGCAAGGTCGGTTCAATTGCAGACTACGATCCACTGAACGACAACTATGGCTCTTCTGCCTGTAGGATATAATGCAGCACAGTCTCAGCACTACTATAGAGGTGAGTAAAGTATCAGTAATTATTTTCTTTTTCTGCTACAGTTTGTTCATTTCTTGGGGTCCCGTGTTCATGTACAGCATGTGACCATAAAATGCCCAATAGCTTTAGGGCAAGCTATGCGTCATATTGGTACAAGTTTATTCGCTATTTCAGCACATTTTGACTCGCTCGTTCATGTCAGGTGTCCTATTTATTCCAGGAACCACTACTGCTATGCAGCGCATGATGCCTTCTCAATCCCAGGTGCCAAGTGGAGTGAGTATAATGGCGTGTTATGTATCCAAAGTCTGCGAAATAGTACTACCATGTTACTCAAATGTAAAGTGATGTGTGACTTTTCATTGCATCCAGAAAAAAAAAATATAAAACTGCAAAAGTAGTGAGAGGGTCAACTTTTTGTTGTATCCAGCAAAAAAAAAGAAGACCACCAATGAAATGTGCACCGGGGGGAAGCATAAAGCGCATTCATTTTTCAGCGACTGTCCCAAAATGAGGTATCTCGCACGAACTCGTGTAATGCATTGAACTACGTTCATAGGATGCCCATCATGCCGAGCGACATCGCTCGCTTTCAACTGTGTCAGTTTAACACTGGCCGCAGTAAGGCGGTTATGCTGATCTATGACGAAACCAGCGTCATCTTGCTCCAATTCAAAATGGCAGCCTGCAAAGAAGCTTCTGCTGGGGTTGCCACTCGCAGATGGGCACCTCCCTCTCATGAAAATTTTGAGCAGCAGCTGATTTCTTCGTATGTCAAAATGGTATGCTTCTTGAAGTGAGCTTCATGTGTGGCAGTGACACTGTGCTTCAGAAGCACCGTGTCAAAATGCAATCGCCGTGGTAGTGAACATTGTTTGAAAAATGGATGTGCTTGGCCTCAGCGACCGTATCTATTGACTGAAGTCTTGTACTTCAGGCATTGTTGACTCGGATACAAGCTGGCCTCTGTGTACTCACGGATTTTGTGCCTGCTTGACAAGGTCGTAGAGTGCCTCTATGCACGTGAGCATCAAGGCACCCCTGCTCACTGGCTACGTTGAAGTTGGCAGCGCCATATGTCTGCCTTTCTTGCAAAGCAGAAGTTAGTCCCAAGCGAGTGGTCCTTGTGTTCGCTCACCCAAAGTATTTCTTGCAGCATGGCGAAACCTAACTGCATTATTCCGCCAGATACGTGTGCACCACGAGCCTCAAATGACTTCGCAGTGAGTGGTAGCGCACCCACAGTGTCTTTTGCTCATGTATGGAATACAGAGGTACCAGTGCATTTTGTAAAAGCATGGTATCTTCTACGGCCGGGCTAGACTGCGCGCGATTGTTTCTTTACGACCTTCTCAAACGTCGCGAATACGATGGGAGAGTTTCTGAGGATGTCTAGACTGCAACTGCGCGCGATCGTTTCCTTACGACCTTCTCAGTCGGGAATACAATGGGAGAGTTTCTGAGTATGTTTCGCCACCCGTCGGCGGTAGGGGCGCAACGACCCTGCCATTGCATCTTCTGGACTGCGCACACGGCACAAGGGAGATTGTCGATGTAAAACCATGGAATAAAGATTCTCGACGATGAGGATTACTCAAGAAGTCGCAGGTAAAGAGATCATCTTTCCTTAAAAAAACAACAACAATGTTATCAGACAGCTCGACGCATAATTTAGGTGTGCATGTGCTTGTTGATAATACAAGCTGAAGCTCAGTAAAAATGCATAGAATTAGCTAACGAGACATAATGCATGAAGCATAAAGCATTGGCGACAACCAGAGAGAGATAGAGAGATAAACAACACTGCATCTGTTGTGCAAGTGGTGAGCACAAAGCACCTTTGGCACTTGCTCTTGTTGGACAACGAGGCCGCAATTAAATGTCGCTTACAGAAATGACGAGCACACCTTCCCTTTGCTAGCTATTTTCTACTTTTTTATTTCTACAAATACATCTGTAGTGGTTTTCGGGGCTAAAAGCTGCAGGCTGCTGCTTGAAAGCTCTTTGAAACACGTACGTGACTTGTATCTCTGATGGTGAAAAATGTAAGTAAAAAGAAATGGACTCTTCCTGCTGAATAACCCCTTCAGACGGCATACCCTGGAGGAGTGGTGTGCATTGTCAAGGTGTTAACACGACCTGTAAACATTAATTCCGGAGACCCCAAGCTCTTTTGCATTCCTTCGAATTGCAAGCCACATCCATGAATAATGTGAATGCAGCTGCTTACGCTCGAGGGCCACTTGCTTTCAAACTAAAATCTCTACTGCATGTCATTTCTGCGCTATACTTGGAGTTCATGGAAGAACATGTTTGGGAAGAAAAGCTGACATCCCAACTTTTCGGCAAGTAAAAAACTTTTTTTTTTTAAGTTTCCTGTAGCTCCACAAACAGGTTGTTGCCGATTTTTCTTCCTCTCTAATCAGACTGCCGTTATTCTGGTATTTGCCCACCGTGGCTGCATTTTGTTCAGAGCTTTCTTAGGACTAAGTCTGCAGTGATTTTTCGTCTCGGGAAGACGGTCGTACAACCTTCACGACGAGCAGTAAGTATGGATATATATTGGATGTGTGATGGTGTATTGTTGTGTGTCGTATTGCAAGGCCTGTTCTGGGAAAACACCTGGTGTTTTTTTTCACCAATTCCCAAGCAATGCTGAACTGTGTGCTAAATGGCAAAAAAAATATTGCTAGAGACAACCTCATCATCAACGACAAGTCTGCATCGACTGTCGTATGCAGCAGACACTTCTGCGATGTAGACTATGTGCCTGCGTGCTGCATCAGAAAACTTCTTCTTGACTCTGCCCCCCCTCTCTTCGAGGACTATCCTTCCTACATGAGACCAAATGCAAGGAAGCCCCGCAAAGATCCTGCTTCAGGAGCTTCGCCCCTACGCCAAACATCAAGGAAGCGAAAAGGGGAGACCAACAAACCAGACCTGGATGTTGCGATTTCACAAGATGCTTTCACTGAACAAGAAGCAGTAAGTGTTTGTACACAATGAACAGCAGTGCTTATCGCACCGGTCGACACGTGGCTATGACAGGAAGATTACGCTCACTAGTGTCGTACCATCGTTCGAAATGTGAGAAGGTGCAGCAGTTGTTGTAAGAAGAGGAAGAGGCGTCCGCATATTATCTCGAAAGCAAGCACCATGCGTGCGTTGGGAAAATTGCAACAGATGCACAGAAAGGGGAGAAAAAAGGCCGTGTCTCTTTTGCATCAAATAGAATGTTACGGAGATGAACATTCAGTGTACCCAGAAGAAGTTGTTAGGGAGTGTGTGATATGGCGCTTTCTGTCCCCAAAAGGCTACGATCATGCTCGCACTTTGGGGATTCTGACATTGCCAGCAAAGTGCACCCTTCAGAGGTATATAGGTCCAAGCCCAGCATCGAGTATGAGCAACGCTATGAAGGACCGTCTGGTTCAGGAGGCCTCTCTACTCAGCAGCAAACAACATATGGCCTCATAGATTAAGCTAGCATAAAACAAAAGTGCATCTATGATAGGAAGGTTCATGCAGTGTTTGACCTCAAGGACAAGCCAGAGAGTAGCATGGCGGATACAGCGAAAGAAGCCCTTGCGAACAGAGTCCTCTGCTTTGTGCTGCATGGTACCACTAGTCGGTTTGAGATTCCATGCTCGTACTACTTCGCAAAGCAACTGAGCGGTAGAGACCTTTTTACATGGATGAAGGAGGTCATTGCTGCTGTGGAATCATGTGGCTTTATCATCATTCGCATTGTCACGGACAATTATTCAGCAAACGTGACGATGATTAAGCGCATGGGTAACGGCAACCTCAACACAGTTGTACATCATCCACACGACGCCAACCGCGTTATCTTTCAGAGTTTTCGACCTGTGCCACTTGCTCAAAAATGATTAGAAACCAGTTCCTCGAACACGAACTTACATATGGCAGAGGAGTGATTAGTGGTGCATTTGTGCAAAAATTATATGAGCATCAAAAACACAAGACTGTGAAGCTGGCCCTAAATTAGCGAAACACATGTCTACCCCTCCAATTTGAAAAAACTGAAGATACTGCGAGCAGTTCAAGTTTTCGCCCCTCAAGTGTCTGCAGCTGTAGAGCACCTTCAGCAAAATTCGCAGGTGCTGCCAGAGATTTTAAGGGAGCAAGTTAAACCATTTTCTTTGTGAAGTCCATGAAGAAATGGTTTGACATTCCATGACGCTTTGTTCAGTGGAAGCGGCCACAAAGTTCCCATATTTGGGAGCGATGAGTTTATCTCTGAAGGATGAGTTTATCTCATGTGTGGAAAAAATACAGAAGAGTTTCATCGGATCAGTGAGTGCTGGATTCACCAACGAGATGTGCGAAGCCTTGCTTTTTACAACAAGGTCGACAGTGGAAAACTAGTTGTTCTTCCAGGAGCAAGGCGTCAGTTATGACCTGACAAAGAAATTGAAGTGACTTCATCGAAGTAATCTTCGGAAAGGTGTGTAGTTGTGCGGCGGGAATGGCATGCTAGATGCTGGAGCAGTCACCGCTGCTCTGAACAACATCATTAAGTTGCACATTCCAAGACCGAAAGAAATCAAGGTATCAAATGTGGAAGTGGAGGAAGAGGCTGCTACGATATCGAATATACTTGATAAGAGCCTGAGGTCTTTGTTGGAGCACGAGGCTTGTTCGGCTCCATCTGTCACCTTCTCCGGCTTAGCATACCTCAGCGGTTACATCGCCAAGCTTATTACAGACCTAGGATGCGCTGCTGATGATCAACAACAAACAGCATCAGCTGTACAAGCTGCTGCGAGCACAAGAGAGGGGCGAACTTTGCTACCCGAGGCCGGAGTTTCTAGCTCTTTTTGACAAGATAGTGTTCTTTTTTATAAGGCCTCTGAACACCTGCCAAGCATAAATGTGCTAGAAGTTTTGCAAACAGCAGTCTAGCCTTACTGGAAACCCGCATCCATCTTAAGCTGCCCTGAAAGCGTTGATGACAGCCACTCCCGACGATCCGAAGATCTCATAGCCAAGAAATTCCTCCTCGTCAATCACACAAACCAACTGACTGACGCAAATGACAAGCCTTCCTACCTACACACACAAGCCGACTAGGAAGCATTTTAAGCTGTGAACAAGACATTTGCTGAAGTCCGGCAAAATTTTTCGCCTGAAAGTGTTCAATATATTGCCAGTGCTTATGACCAATAAATATTTATTCAGACCTCAGAATGTCTACACGTTTGATGGCAGAGAGCTGTACTTCGGGCTCTTACATTTACATATTTTTCAATAAACTTAAGCTTGATGCACCTAGCACAAATAAGAAGTCAAAACGAACCATTTCTGTGCCTTAAAAATTAGGCAACTTGTTTTTCAACGCACAGTGAGTGGAGAAGCACGCCCTATACTCATGTGTTAGCGCTGTATGGAGTGGCGAAAGATGGCAGAGGTCGCAGCGTCCCCCTCTAATGAGTGGCGAGAGGCATGCTACTACACCTGTTGCGAAGGCCGTAAGAAGGGAGCGCGCAGGTGCAGTCTAGCCCGGCCGTGTATCTTCAAGCTGAATGTTGGTGAATGCCCTGCACTTCTCCTGAGCATTGTTTTGTAAATCTGTTTTTCTTGTTAGGGTGCACTGGCCAATATGTGAGCAACAGAGGTGTACTAATTCAACTAGACAGAAAGTCAAGGCAAGAAGGAGGCTCAAAGTGATAAGAACATTTCACTGACGCATACAATTCAGCAGGACTGGTAGAACAAGGGGGGGGGATCAAATACTGTTGCCAGGAGCATTTTTTGTTCAACAATTTCTATTCACAGTAGTTCTGTAAATCTTGGTGCAGATTCGATCCCATGGGCAAGTAAACTGTTATATTTCATTTAAAAGACCCCAGCCATTCAAGTTCCTCAACGCAAATACTGGTTCCACATTCTTAGCTTAAGCGTGGTGTCCTATCACAATGCTTTGCGTGCAACGGGTACTGCTTGTAGCTACCAAAGAAACCTCCCGCTAATCAAAGAAACACTTCCTGTTTGGCCAGGCGGGGCTCTTCAAAGCAAAATGTTGACAAAAACGTCATTCAGAAGGGACAGAAACATTAAAATAGTTTTGGTATGTGTTTAGTTTCTGTCTATAATCATGCCGTCTATAGTCGGTTTCTGTCTATAGTCATGCTGCCCGAGTGAGAATAAAAGTTGCATTGTAGTCTCAAAAGATAGTCCTGAAGAAGTGTGCCTACAGTATTTACTTGAAGATAGGTCGGGCACACATATAGGTCGACCTCTATATAAAAGTGTTCTACAGGAAAAAAATGTACAAATATATTCAAATATAGGTCAGCCACTATGTTCTTTTTTTTTTAATTTAGAAACAGAAAAACTGAAACGTAGCACACCTTTATTTGCATAACTTAGCGCCCTAATCGATGCCGGGGCCGTCATCTTGTCAGATGTTCAAAATGTTGTCATCATCAGTTTTTTCCAAGCATCCGTGGCTTCCCAAATGTCATCCTCGCTGCTGTCGCTACTGATTGCTGGGCTGCGAAAAGCACGTCGTTCATTGCACGCAAACAGACAGTCCCACTACTTTTGCCGATCCCGTATCAACTTCTCATTTACACAGATCACTCGCTGCGCGGCACAATTGCTCTAGTCCTCAGCAAAAAGTATCACTTGGCACTTAAAGTCACCTGTGTAGCTCTACCCACGCGACATCGTCACAACCGTGCCTAAGCAAATGGTGATGGTGGTTAGAAGAAGGCACCTAATTTCTGCATCCGGTAGGGAGCACGGCGCAGCGTTTAAAGCAAGTGCGAACAGTCACATCAATCGTAGAATGAACAAAGCATGAGGCGGCGAAGCCTCAGGCCCGTGTCAGTGCGGTTGCGCACTGGAAGGCAGTACCGTAAGCACGGCTAGCGGGCCAAGGACTTAACGGCCTATACCTAGGGAAATCATGGTTTTCATCGCAAACATGGCGTAGCGGCTGCATTTCATGGGGGCTTTGAAAAGGCGGTACGCGGCTGTTACATCAATAGCTTTTTTCTCAATTACCTAAGTAGTCGAGAAGGAGGAGGAGGGGGTGTTTATTTCGAATTTTATGGTATATAGTGTGCGTATGCAGCAGAAACCGCTTGAAGAACAGCAAGTGCGGCAGTTGAACACCTTAAGCTTGGCGCTTTTGGTTGGATTTATGATGAATATGGCCCGAGATTCTCTGGTCACACCTTGTAAATTAGGGCAAGAGTTACTACAACGACTTGGTGTAATAGTATGCTTGTTTTTGAAGGCCAGTTTTTATAAGTGAATGTTTTAGTGAGGTTGCAGAACATTGGCCCACTCTGCTGCATGGAAGCTGACAAGCTCAACAAAGGCTGTTCTTATCTAATATAAACCTCAACCCTCCCCCCTCTCCTGGAAAAGGCATGACTCATTTATGTAGTTGCTGCCCTCACGATGACAAGTCCAGTTGTTGAAACATTTAATTCAGCGACATTCCTTAGTTACACGATTTTTCATTAATAATAATATGGTGGGATTCATGGCTATGGCTACTGGAAGAATGTCATTATCATTCAATTTATGGGTAGCGATGAGCTTTATAAAGCAGGTATTTAATAGCTTAGCTTGCCTTAACTTAAATATGATTTTACGTCATTGCTGTCACAAATGTTATCAAATACTGTGCTTTCCCCAAAGTGCCCACCTTTTGTGGAAGTAACACTACAAGAAATGTAAGCCCACGTTTATATAAATGCCTACTTCTGAGTAAAGGAAATAAGGGTAAACTTAAATGATCTGCTCATTTTCTTTGTTAGAAACATTATTAATGAGAACTGACAGACAAATCTGCCAAGGAAAGTGTAGGGGATCTCATTAGAAGTAACGGTAATGTAAATGTAAAGAAAGAAATGTGGATGGAAAGATAACTTGCTGTGGCCAGGATGCGAACCTGTGACCTTCTAATAACGCGTTCAATGCTGTACCGACTGAGCTACCATGGCGGCTATCCCCCCATCTACACTGTTGAGTATGTATGTGTATTAAAAGTAGGAGCATCAGTCAGTGCCACCTGTTGCCATTTCGGCAAATGTGGGACACTCGTTTTTCGCCTTTTGGCATCACGTAGCACATGATCTAATTACGAGGTGGAGGGTTATTCGAAGGTCGCAGGTTCGGTTCCTGCCCAGGGCAAGTTATATTTTCACCCACTTTTCTTTCTTCACATTTACAATACAATTCGGTCTTCCCCTATACTTTCCTTGGCACTATTGTCTATCAATTCTCATTAGTATTACCTCTGAGTAACAATTACATGTAGTGTTCCTGTGTATCCGTAAACGCAGGGTTTGCTGATATCCTTGCTGCTGCTGGTGTGTAAAATATGTGAGAGCTACGCACACATATATGTAAGATATGCACTGCTTGTTGTGGAATTGTCAATTGCATCGCCAGTGCTCCTTTGCAGAGAACCTTCCGGGCAATGTACGACTACGTGGCCCAAGATATAGATGAAGTGAGTTTCCTTGACGGCGACATGATTGTGAGTTGCGTGCCCATCGACGAGGGTTGGATGACCGGCACCGTACAGCGCACAGGTCTCACGGGGATGCTGCCCGCAAACTACGTTGAACCTCTCAACTAAATCCTCTTCTCTGCTACTCCCTTGTTTTTTGCTTTTGTCAGATGCTTAGCATTTTCTTCTTGTTTCCATTCTGGAAGAAAGGCATGATTGACTGTCGTTTAGGTGTGGTGAAACTCATTTCTTGCATTTATCAGAAACTGACACATTTAGTTTTACATGTCTTTTCCTTATTGGTTTAATAGCATGAAAGCCTACCTATTCACATATACTTTCTCTTTGTTGCTTAAGCACCTCTAATATTTGTATAAAGAGTAAAGTATGTATTGTATACTATCAGAATTTAATGTACAGGCCCCAGTAGCACTTCAATGAGTGCATTCACTATTTTTTTGATACTGTCTAGAAAGAAGTGGCAAATTTTATGAACCACTGAGATGCCTTTAACGAGTCACGTGCCTTGTTCAGCTTCATCCTGTTTGAGGATGTTATTCTGGGCTGAATTTTGTGTTCTTTGGTCAATGCTAAGAGGGTATATTTCATTTGTGTGTGAAAAGAGTTGCATAGTAATTTTCGAAGTTCTCACAAAGTGCTTTAGAACTGCGTTTTAGCGTATATGTTTTGACCTGTGCAGTATACAAAAGTTAATGGCCTTGCATCAAGTACTGCCTTTGATGTGAAATGTATTTGCTAGATGCACTTTCTTAGCCCACTTGAAGTATTAGTAGCTGCTAAAGGCATTATGATGGGAAGAGTTGTGTGTCATTTGTATTACATTGTTTGTGAAAGCTGCAAGCTGACTTTGCTGCATGGGGACTGCATTTGCATGGCTTCCTTGCACAACTGCATCCACGCATAGTAAGACTGTGCATTTTGTGCTGGCTATTTATCGGGGTCTACTGTAGCACAGCCTAGCCTATCTGGATGAATACAGAGTAGCATAAATGGCATTCAGCCCAGCATTTATTTCATACTCGAATGTGGCAGCGTTAAAGCATATTTGTTGCTCAGGGTTTAAGAGCTGTCAGCCTTCCTCCCCTCTCGTTTCACTGTTAAGTGTTCAGTGCCTGTCTCTTCATACTGTCTAAATTTTACGACTTACTTGTTCACACTTGTTGTGTACGGCAGATGTTGGTGTTCGTGCCCTTTACTTCAGGTGGCCGTATGTACAAGCGCAGCAGAGCTGATTGAGATGCTATATAAACATTCGAGCTCAAAGTTCTTGCTAACACTATTTTTTTTTTGTTTAGGCATATACTCGCAAGGGGAGCCGCTGTGTTTATTGCATGGCTATTTATTGCCCTAAGCCACTCTACAGTTTATGTTTTAAACTTGCCTGACCTTTGTGTTCTGTGCTCTAGACTTGATGTGTTTAAGTTTTAACTTCAAGTAATGCTCAAAGTCTTGCTTTGTGCTCATTCTGTAATGTACCTATGGCCTTTCAATAATCGGGAGTTTGTGTGTGTACCACTTCGTCATTGCACAATGCTCGGAGGTGCATGTTTGAACGAAAGCTTTGTGCCTGTGACGTTTTTCATTTACATTTACCTTCTCGTAGTTCAGCCAAAAAGGTGTCTCTGACAATGTGTACAAAGTATGACTTGTATGCAATTAACATATGTTCACTACTCAGAATTATGTGCCTTCTCGCAGTTTGCCAGTGCCAGATGGGTAATCAAGCCCCGTTTACATGCACTCTTTATCTTGACACTAAGATTTGTATGTTGGTTCTTTGTGTGGTGTAGCATTGAGACACCTCTCCCAGTACCCCACCCTCTTTTCTTTTAGAGTAAAATAAAGCTTTTTTTAGAGAGATTAATCTGGACTGTTTGTGAATTACTTTATTTTTATGGATGGAAATTTTATTTCCATTCATAAGGGTCTCTGTATTGGCTGCAAAACAAAACACTGAAGCTGTTGAAGCTGGCTAGTAAAAACATTGGTACATGCAGGTGCGTACAAAAAACTGTCACCATGAATTGGGTGTGTGCCGCATAAATTGAGCAAATTCCACTACTCATAGAAGCATCATCGAAATTAACCCAGCCATAGTGGCCATACGTTCTAGCTTAATTTAAGCATCTGTGCACATTGCTTTAGGGGTATGTGCAACAAGACAATACTGTGGACAAGAAAGGCAAGGCAGGCTGCTAGAAGACAGCGGAACTGATGGAAGCCCTATGCAAGCAGATTCATTGCAGGAGTGAATGCTCGGTGTGAGTTAGTCTCTGTGGTTAGGCCATCCGCCTTGTGTCTGTCTGCAATTTAACCTCTTTGTGCTCAAGGGCAACTGAGCCCTTTCCTGCCCGAGGCAAGTATAAAGAAAATGCTTATTTGCTAAAAGTTATCATTATTTGTTCAATTTTAAGGAAGTTTTCAAAAGTTAAACAGGAAAAATTCAAAGTACTTGGTTGATAAGACAGGCCCGCACAAATGTGTGGGCTGAGCTTTTGTTCTTGATTGACTGCTGCGAGGATTACACTCAGAACTGACTTAACAGAAAACAAAAAACGCATCTTGAGCGCTGCACAGAGAATTGTGTGCCACTTCGGAGAGAAATCGTGTCACTTGGACACGGCCTAGAAGCCTGCAGTGATGATGCACACTGATGGCCAGTGGTCATGAGTCACTTGTCATGTGCCTTTTTCACTCCAGGAGACTTCTCTACGGGTTGATCTTGTGGAATCTTCGTTTTTTCTTTCTGTGTTCATTTGTTTTTTGTTTTGGTGATGTGCATAATTCATCAGCGATCAGATGCAGCTGCTGATCAGGATCATCCCTAAACTGCTTGGTGTTTGGCTGGGTTCCTTCCTAAGTTTTTTTCATATCTGGACCTGAAGCACACAGTCATTTTGTCAGCAACAATTTTCGAAATCACTGCAATAAGCTTGTCTAAGAAATGTGAAAAATGATTTTTTTTCTGCATTAAAGAAAACAAAAAAAAACACATTGGCCTCTGGCTCAAGCTATTAGCGGCCCCAGGCAGATAAAGCTCTACAGCATAATGTTGATGCTTTAAAATGGCATAACCTTTACTTTAGCTGGCAGGAGATGGCGAGAGGTCACCTGACCTAGTTTGCTTAGGGGCCGACTGGTCAACAACTTCTCCTTCTCAAGGCAGTTTTCATCAGCCGGTTGGCACAAACCAGGAATGTGAATTTTTATCAATTTGTCTTCGTTGTAAGTATACTATTTCTGACTAGAAAGAAAGAGCCTAAAAAGCTTTTTTCCCATGTTATCTTAACTCTCTAGCGTGAGAAATATATGTTAAAATTAAACAAATGCATATACACTCCCACAAATGTGGTTCCCAAAGTTGGCTAACTTTCGCAATTTTACTTTCTCGGTGATTCATTATCCCCATAAAACTATCGGCACAATTGTACGTACACCTGTGCAATGCAGAAAAAAATATGATGCGTTGAAATGTAATGCATGTTGGCACACCCATGGATGAAAATAATATTTTTTTTCGTAAACAGTGATCACAATTCACGTAATACTGCTTTAATACCATATTTGACTGATTCTGTCGCAGCGCTCTCTTTAGAAAGAGAGAGAGGGGGGCTGATGAAAGAAAAAAACGCGACCCCTTTCTCTCTCTATAAAACGCTCCGAACCGACCAGTCAAAGATGACGTAAGAGAGAAAGAAACTTATTTGCGCAAACGCAAATGGTCGGGCCCTATTCCAGGGCTCCGCTGGCCCTTGCCATCTTCTTTGTCCGTCGGAGCTGATAATAAAAGGCCGAGCTGGACAGCAGTGCCTCTCATTGTTTCTCTGTGTTGTTCTTGCTGTGGTGTTCTTCATTGTGAGGTGCACACTCCCACGTAATGTGAAACAGAGTAAGTGTGGTCCCGTACCACGGACATATACATCTGTGTGCTGTGGGGTAGAATACAGGTAGCCCGTGTAAGTTTATGTATGTGTTTGTCTGGAGTCTGCGTAACGTGGCAGATTACATTGCTGTGGGGTTATGTGGTGCCATCCCTGTAATACTGAAGAATTACAGCAAAATTAGGGTCTAGGAGGTGTTAAGTTCTTTATGGCACTGTGCAACGAAGCTCGGTGATTTGTGAAGCCTCGAGCCGCCTCATCTGCAAACTGGTTCCCAGTGACGTCCTCGTAAGAGGTGTAAGAGAGACCGGTCTGAGGTTTTTATATTGCGAATTTATTTCCTGGTTCTGGTATGAAGATTATCACAGCGTGCTTCCATTGCTGAGGTATTATGCCATTTATATATATCCAGTGTGTGTTGATGAAGTTTAGAAGCGCTGCGTTGTTTTTTTTTTTTTTTATGCTGACGATTGGCGCTCTGTTACGTTTGGCCCGGCGATTCGTCTGGGCAGACGCCATTGTGTGTAAGCCGGTCTACTAGGGAGGCTTTCAACCCATCGGCGCCCAGTCTGCAAGACGCTGTCCTGTATATGTTCCAGGAAGCAGTCGGGTCTCAACGAAGGCTTCGCGAGACAAGCATTTTGTTGAACGGGTTCGAACAGCGGAGGGGGGAAGGGCGCCTTTGTGGCGGGTCTCATTAAGTAAACCTCTCGACTCGGCTATTGTTATCTACGCGAGGCCATCGCAAAGCATTGTCAGTCCGAAAGCGTGGGAAGACGTCGAAGGAACCGTTCTCAGGGATCGAGCATTTGGACTGCCTGACGCTGAAAGCAGCATGGACCGCTGCTGATGTTCGGGTCCACGGCCATCTCCCCAGAGGATCTCAACCTTTCCTCTCCGGACTCTACCTCCTCGCCCTGCATGGCCTTCAAGGCGGGGGCCGGGTGCATCATTGGGGGGTTGCGCTCGTGCTGCCATTGGACCATTGAGACTTCGTCACCTGATTTGTGGCGAGCGTGCTCACCGCCTTCTTCGGATCTCCGTAGAAAGGAGACAGTGGGCTATAAAAGCTGGAGAGATTTTGTAAATAAGAGCTGAATCATGAGTGGAATCATGAACTGAATCTCTGTTGTACATGATGCGGGATCTTCTGAATCCCTGTACAGTTCCCATCTTTCATCTGTAATGTAAATAAATATTATTTCTATCTATCCCTAACGCGTCCCCTCACTGGCGAAGATCAGCTATTCGGACAACGGCGGGGAGCCAGCTACTCTAAAGAAAACCCGCCGTACCTACCATCGACCTCATAAACTTTACAACTGGTGGCAGTGGTGGGATGTCATCATCAACCTTCCTACCCTTGACAGCTCTGACCTCGGCATGCTTGAAAGGAGCATGCAGTTCTGAGTTTGGGAGCCCAGTGTATTTAGCCTGGTAAGGTGTTGTGATGGCTCGGGCTCCGAAACACTTGGTATAGATGTCTTAAAAGAGATCAGCGGCGTAGCCAAAAGAGGGGGGGGGTCAAATCCCCCCCTGAAATTTTTAGTCTGACACCCACCCACCCCCTCCAACTTACCTACCCTTTTTTTTTTTGTCGCTTCGCGTTGACAGAAACTAAGCGCTGCTACTATCACAATGTAATTTTTCGATGCTTTTACAATGATTCATGTCTGCATATGAAAAAACCTGTCGTGGTGTTTCTCAAGGCCTAACACTCCGTGATATTTTCGGTAGGAATCTCGGCCGCGAGTGTTTTAAGTTGGCTCGGCGACGGTATTAATGCTTAAGCGGCGGTCATACTTTTACCCACCGGAACAGATCTCACCGGAGTCGATCACTACGATAATTTTCAATAGGCAAAGGTTCGTTTTAATGGAAAAACCCAGACAGAGTTCCAAGGTATGATAGGCCGCGTTCAAGCGTATTACAGTGTGACTCTTTGTATACGTGTCCTAAGATATACTCAAGTCAAAGAATAATATTGCTATTGAACCTTCACACTCACACATGCACACACATACACACACGCGCGCGCGACAGAATATTTGGTTTATACACCGCTTGTATGCGAGTGTACAAATATATATATATATATATATATATATATATATATATATATATATATATATATATATATATATATATATATATATATATATATATATTAAAATAGAGGTGTTGTACGTCGAGAAAGGTTCAGACGCAGCTTGGCAAAATGAGCTTTAACAGGCAGGTCTGGCTAATGGCGAACGGCGTGCGCGAGCTACTACTGCAGCCACCGATCATCATCGTCTTCTTCGTTGCCAGCAGAGCGTCCGTTACTCAGATTCATTAATTCATTACAATTACTCCCCGCGAAATAAGGAGCCATCCTGGCGACCTATGGACAAGTAAACACGGGAGGGTCGTAGCAGCGCTTAAGTCTCGAGACGTGGACAATTTCCTGGCCACGACGACGTTGGTCAGAAGATGGTTCCAGTGGCTCGATGAGGTAATTCACCGGTGACGTTTTTTGTAGCACACGATATGGGCCGTGATACTTGGGGACCAACTTGGTAGAAAGGCCAGGTGTAGCAGAGGGAACATGCAGCCAGACGAGTGAACCTGGATCGTAGGAAGTGGTGTTATTTGATGCGTCATGGTGGTGCTTTTGGCGTCCTTGGTCTTGGGTTGTGAATGCTCTTGCCAGTTGGCGGCATTCCTCAGCGTATGTAGCGGCTTGAGACAAAGTCGTGGACTCTGAGGAGTCAGGTTTGTACGAAAGAATGGTGTCCATAGTGCAAGAAGGTTCGCGTCCGTAAAGGAGGAAAAAAGGAGAGAACCCTGTAGTGCTTTGAATGGCGGTATTATAAGCGAACGTGATAAACGGGAGCACTCGGTCCCAATTGGAGTGGTCTGACGAAATATACATAGACAGCATGTCACCAAGGGTGCGGTTGAAGCGCTCTGTCATTCCATTGGTCTGAGGATGATAGGCGCT